GCATTTGGCCAATCCCGCCACCGTGCCTGGGCTGTGAGAGTGAACCCTCTTGGATGTTTTTTGAGGTCTGGTTCGGAGCCTCCCTGAATGATTCTCGGAAACAGTTCTTGTTCTTTTGTTTCCCCCCCCTGGGCTGTTTGGCAGGCTTTTTTCTGGGCCTCTGTGGGGGCTGCTTAGGGGCCTCGGGGGGCGCCCCGGGGCCTTTTGGTGCCTCTTGGCGCGCTCCTGTGGCCCTCTTGGGGCGGAAAGCTCGGATCGAGCTGTACTTGTCCGCCAGGGCCTCCCCTCGTGCCCCGCGGCCGAGCAGCGCGAGCTGCACGAGCTCGCGGACGCGGGCCCGGTGGACGCACCTGAGTCCGCGAGCGGCGGCGAGGGTGAGACGGCTGCGCGGACAGAGTTGTTCGACTGCCGGGAGAAGGACGTTCAGCGCTACGCTGCGAGGGTGAAGCTCCTGCGCCCCATGCGGGATAGCGAGGGCGTGAACTTGACAGTTGCTTGCGGCATCTGCCCGCTCCGATCGTTCTCGACACAGGTACCTCTGGCCGCGTGCGTCTCCAAGTATCGCCTCAGAGAGACGCGTTTCGTGGCCTCTGGCACGAAGCAGTTCAATGTCGTGTGCACGGTATCCGACAACGACTCGCTCTTGTGAGCTCTAATGGGGACCAGTTGAAGCGATCTGCGACGACCCTGCGCGAGACAGTATCTCCATCGCGGACACAACGCCATTGTCAAGGACATGGTACTGGTCCTCGACGACGACGGGCCGTCGTATCATAAGGCAGCCGTCGGGCATAATCTCGCGTGCAAGCGAGTCGGGTACAATGCTCTACCCGTGGTTTCGCCGATACCCTGTTGCAGGAGTCCTTGCGCCACCATGGGCGCGTTCGCCCGGCGATGCTGCGGACGCGCGCTCGCATCGTGGAGAAGGGCTCCGACTTGAGCAGCATTCTGCCGACGCGCGTTGATCGTTGGCTAATGCTTATGGGAGACGCGTTCAGCAGCGCGCGCGCAGAGAGGCGCGGCTATGCGTTAATGGTGTAACGCCACCGCCATGAGGAGCTTCTCCACATAATCCAGGAACGCCACCATCCGCAGTCTGCGCGGGGCCAAGGGCCAGGCATATTATCGGTCTGCACACGCAGTGCGCGAACCTGCGCCCGTGCCGGACGTGGATGCTAAGCGCCGCGTCCTGATTCTCGCGGGCCGGACGGGCGCGGCGCTCGGTGTTTCCCTAACAAGGGACGAGGGATCATAGCAGGAGCGATTTCAGCTCACTGGTCTGCTGCGTGCAGATCGCAGACGGTGCCCGTCGCCAGTGACCAGAGGGGCAGCGCGCTATCCCGCGCTTTGCGAGGCTCATGCTTTCCCCAGACATCGTAAGTTTGCCATGTAGTCAGCATGTGCCAGATAGTAAGATGTGCTATGGAACCATATCACATTTTTTCTGGCACATGTATGGCCATCTTGGGACATATTGAGGCCATGTTGGTCTGTGTTGGAGGAGTCTCGAGCAGTCTGGTCGGCTTTCGTGGCCTCCCAGGTCCGCCTTGTAAGCCAACTTGGGCACGTGTGACGGCCAGACCTGGCATCATAAACGAAAACACTTTGCAAGAGCCTCTTTTGGATTCGCAGGCTCCTTGTAGGGTTCTATTCGGCCACGTCGGGCGTTTCTGTAGAAACATGGGCGCGTGATCGTAGACGTCGTCACGACAGTGGCTTTATAGTCTGTTGACTTTTCCCCTGGGCTGCGTCCCCGCCGCACTGGGGAACAACTGCGCGGCGCGAGTTCCACTGTCTCGACGCATGGGTCATCGCAGTCGGAGGAAGCGAGGGGGCCACCACGACGCTTCCACAACGACGGCAAAATTGATTATGATGATGAGGATGGTGAGGATGATGCTGATGGTGGTGATGATGATGAGGATGTTGGTGGTTTCGCTGGTTACGATATTGATGGTGCCGGTGATGATGACGATGAATATGCGGGCAAGCGAGCAGGAACAGCAACAGGAATAGGGGTATGATGATGATGAGGAGGAGGAGGAGCAGGAGGAAAGCACATGAGGATGAGCAGGGATATGCGGGAGGGGGAGAGCGAATAGGGAAGGTGGTGAACATGATGATGACGAGGAGGAGAAGAGGAACGATAAAAGGAGAGTGGGAGGACCATGTAACTGACGATGAGGACGGATATCAGACATATGATAATGTATAGCAGGAGAGGACGGTCGAGGGCAACTATGGAGTGGGAGCCTCGGAAAAAGTCGCGCATGATCCCGCAATCATCCCTTCACACACAGTCACACATACATATATATATATATATACATGGACGTATGCATGGATGCATGCATGTCTGCCTGTGTGTTTTTTGGTATGTCTATATGTATGTGTGTAAATGTGTATGTATGTATGCATGTATGTATGTATACATGCATGTATGTATGTTTGTATGTATGTATGCATGCATGTATGTATGTATGTATGTGTGTATGTATGTATGCATGTATACATGTGCATACATATGTATGTATGTATGTGTGTATGTATGTATGTATGCATGTATACATGCATGTGTGTATGTATGTATGTATGTGCTATACATATATATATATATATATGTACATGTGTGTGTGTGCGTCTTCGCAAGCACCATCAAGCCCGCTTACATCTAAGGGTAAGGACAGAGGAACAAAGGGCGGTTCAGGCGCGTGCGTTGGCCTTAGAGTTGGAGGTTTCGGAATGAGTTGGCGCATGCTGGGGGGACGGAGGGTGTTAAGTATTGGGTGTGGTGTTGGAGATGGAGGAGGGTATTAGGTCGGCCGGTCGGGGAGTCGGCCAGTCGGGGAGTCGGCCAGTCGGGGAGTTAGTAAGTCGGAGAGTCGGTCAGTCGGGGAGTCGTTCAGTCGGGGAATAGGCTTGCCAGCCAAACGGGGAGTCGGCCAGTCGGTGGGAGTGCCAGTCGGCCAGTCGGAGAGTCGGCCAGCTGGGGAGTCGGCCACTCGGCCAGTCGGGGAGTCGGTCACTCTGCCAGTCGGGAGGTCCGCCAATCGGTGAGTCGGCCAGTCGGAGAGTCGGCCAGCTAGGGTGTCGTCTAGTCGGCCAATCGACCAATCGGAGAGCTCAGGCAGTCGGGTAGTCGGGTAGTCGACAGGATTCGGAGAGTCGGACGGTTTTTTCAAGTTTCCGTGGACGTTCCTAGACAGCGAGAGAGGAATCCTGGGAAAATCTTAAGAAGACCGCAAGAGGACACGGCAGGGCCGCTCAGGGAGCCTGATCCGTCACGATAGTTATCTAGCCGCAGTTGGTAGATAGTGTTTTTTTCGGGCTTTCTTGGAGCCATTGGTAGCTTCGAGGCTCCGACAGAGAGGAAGAGGCAGAGAGAGAGAGAGAGAGAGAGAGATGATGGGCCTGTTTTCCACCACCACCACCACCATAAGTTGGTGGGGGGAGGTAGGTGGAGGAGGAGGAGGAGGAGGATCCCCTCCCCCTCCTACTTGTGATGGTGGCGGGGGAAAGCACGCCCACCAAGAGAGGGCTCCCGAGAACCCCCCCAAAAAAAGACCACGGGAGGCCCAGGCGGGGCCTCTCGGGTAGCCTTGGTCCGCCACGATCTCCAGCCTCCATTGGGACATCGTGGGTTCGCAGTGCCCTTTTGGGGCTCCCGGGGGGGCCTGGGCAGGATTCGAGCAGCTTCTCGGGACTCCTCGGAAGATTCCCGAAAGAGAGAGAGAGAGAGAAACAACAGAGGCACACAACTAACAGCAGAGACAAAGGGAGAGAGAGAGAGAGAGGTCCCGAGAAAACTCCAAAATGACCACAGGAAGCACTGGTAGAGCCTCTCAGGCGGCCCTGATCCGCCACGATCTCCAGCCTCTGGTGGGAGATCGCGGCCTCTCGGTGCTCTCGTGGAGCCCCTTGGACGGTTCTGGGTGAGTTTCGGACAGCATTTCGGGCTTCCCATGAGGCTCCGAGGGAGAGTGAGAGAGAGGGAGAGAGAGAAAGAGAGAGAGAGAGAGAGAGAGAGAGAAAAAAAAAAAAGAATAAGACCTCCCGTGAAAACCTCCAAGCTGGCCCTAGGAGGCCCCGACAATGCCTCCTAGAGGCGTCCTACCCGCCACGATCTCCTGCCTGAGTTAGGAAGTCGTGGTTTCTTGGTGCTCTCCTGGAGCCCTGGAGGATCGTGGCTTCGTTGGGCTCTCCTGGAGCCCCTGAGGGCGCCTGGGCGGGATCCGCAAAGCTTTTCGAGCCTCCCGGGCGGCTCCGACGGAGAGAAAGGTCCCGAGAAAACTGCGAGGAGACTCCGGGAGGCCCCAGCAGGGCCTCTCAGGGTGCCCTGATCCGCCACGATCTCCAGCCTCAAACGGGAGATCGTGGCCTCGTGGTGCTCTCCTGGAGCCCCGGGAAGCTCCTGGTCCCAGGAGGCTCCGAGAGAGAGAGTGAGATTCCGAGGACACCCCCAAGGAGGCCATAGGAGGCCCCGGCAGGGCCTCTCAGAGGCTTCCTATCCGCCACGATCTCCAGCTTGAGTTAGGACATCATGGTTTCTCGGGGCTTTCCAGGATCCCGTGGGGGCTCCTGGGCAGGATTCGGACAGCTTGTCGGGCCTCCTTCGAGGCTCCAGAGAGAGGGAGAGGGCTCCCGAGAGAGCCCAAAGAAAACCACTGGAGGCCCCAGCAGGGCCTCTCGGTGGACCCTGATCCGCCACGATCATCAGCCTCAGTTGAGAGATCGTGGATTCTCGAGCCTTGAGACTCTCCTGTAGCACCTGGGGGCTCCTGTGCGGGATTCGGAAGGCTTTTCAAGCCTCCCAGGCGGCTCCGAGAGAGAGAGAGAGAGAGAAAGGTCTTGAGACAGCTCCAAGGAGACCCCAGGATGTCCCAGCTGGGCCTCTCTCTCTCATGGTGCCCTAATCCGCCACTATCTCCAGCCGCAATTTCCGTTGTCATTTGGGCTCGAGCCGTAAACTGTTATAGTCCTCCTTATGTACGGTCGGGCTAATGGGGTGGCTGACCACGATGGGTGCATGGCGTCCGGCGTCGCTGTGCATGACACACGGTGGCTGTAATATTCTTATGAGGTTTGTGAAGGTTGCCATCGTGCTCTTACATGGTTTTGGTGCCAGCGCCACCCAGACAGCAACCGAGGATGGCAACGCTGTGATGAAGGCGGCTTGGTTCTCTACTACCTCACCTGGCGAGGAGGCCAGCGCCTGGATGAGGTACTCGATGAACTGCAGCACAAATGGTGGTGCAAATGGCCTCCACTCCGTCCTGCTGCCGGGATGCGCAGGAAGTGCCGGCTCGTGCTACGTCAGCTCTTCAACCTTCCGTCGACTGATTATCAACGGTTGCGAGGTCGTCGTGATGAGTGCGGGTGATTTTCGTTGTGATGGGCGCCAAGATGTCGTGGTCGCAGATTGCCCAGCGAGTGCACACTTTGGCATTGAAGAGGACGAGACGTTCGCTCAAGCTCCCACTCCGGTCAAAGCCCCATACGAGCACAACGCCCGTATCCTGATTGGACGCGGAGTGAACAAGACTCTGACTACTAGGACAGTATCTTCAACCACTGGGAGTTCAACCACGACTCTGACTACTACGACGGTATCTTCAACAACGAGGAGTTCAACCACGACTCTGACTTCTACGACAGTATCTTCAACCACTGGGAGTTCAACCACGACTCTGACTTCTACGACAGTATCTTCAACCACGGGAAGTTCAAACCTGACTCTGACTTCTACGACGGTATCTTCAACCACCAGGAGTTCTACCACGACTCTGACTTCTACGACGGTATCTTCAACCACTGCGAGTTCAACCCTGACTCTGACTTCTACGACGGTATCTTCAACCACCGAGAGTTCAACCCTGACTCTGACTTCTACGACGGTATCTTCAACCACCGGGAGCTCTACCACGAATCTGGTTTCTACGACGGTATCTTCAACCACTTGGAGATCAACCCTGACTCTGACTTCTACGATGGTATCTTCAACCACCGGGAGTTCAACCCTGACTCTGACTTCTACGACGGTATCTTCAACCACCGGGAGCTCTACCACGAGTCTGACTTCTACCACGGTATCTTCAACCACCGGGAGCTCTACCACGTCTCTGTCCTCAACTACTCCGACATCTTCCACTGGGACCTCTACCACGACTCTGTCTTCAACTACTGAGAGCTCTACCACGAGTCTATTTTCAACCGCTGGGAGTTCTACCACAAGTCTGTCTTCAACCACCGAGAGTTCAACCCTGACTCTGACTTCTACGACGGTATCTTCAACCACCGGGAGCTCTACCACGAGTCTGACTTCTACCACGGTATCTTCAACCACCGGGAGCTCTACCACGTCTCTGTCCTCAACTACTCCGACATCTTCCACTGGGACCTCTACCACGACTCTGTCTTCAACTACTGAGAGCTCGACCGCGGGTTTGTCTTCAACTACCGAGACATCCAGCACGACGTTATCTTCAACCAGTGGCAGCTCTACCACGAGTCTTGCCTCGATATCTGAGACATCTATTTCCCAGAGTTCTACCACGAGTCTGTCCTCCACCACCGGGAGCTCCACCACGAGTCTGTCTTCAACCACTGGGAGTTCTACCACAAGTCTGTCTTCAACTACTGGGAGTTCGACCACAAGTCTATTGTCTGCCACCGAGACCAGCAGCACCACCTTGATCTCTGCGACTCTGACCAGCATCACCACTTCGACCATCAGCACCACTTCCATGTCCACTGCAACCACTTCAACCACAACCACCGCGGCGAGCACCAGTGAATCCGCCACTTTTGTGACAACCGCGAGTACCTCCGAGAGTACTGGCACCGCGACCAGCACCAGTGCAGCTAGCACCACTGCGACCATTACGAGTATCTCGCAGACTACTGGCACCGCCACCAGCACCACTGCGACCAGCACCAGTGACACTAGCATCAGTAAAACCAGCACCACTGCGACCAGCACCAGTACCACAACGCCGCTTTACGTTGTCATTAGCGCCATGTCATTTCAAAGCAATGGCACGGCAGGCAATATTTCAAGTGCGCTAACATCTCTTCTAGCGAGTCTGTACAACGTTGATGAAGAGAACGTGCTGGTAAGTGTCGAATATTCTCCCGCCCGGTATGCAGTGGATGGTATTGGCACGGAGTATGATGTCGGGTATGAAATAATCCGTAAGGGCTTCGCCCCCTGCCGCCGGCCCCCTCTCTCGGAGAATGGGCCATGGAAGAGCTAAGTCATGAGGTCTTGGCGCTGTCGTGAAGCAGTATCGAAAGTTCATGCGAAGCCGATTCGCAATCAGCAAAACCAACTGATGACAAGAGGGGTTACCACACCTGGCGATTGGTAAGACGTGTATGGTTTACGGGCTTGGTTACCACACCTTGCGATTAAAGGGCCGAGGGAGTCCTCGCAGTTTGGGTTACCACGCCTTGCGATGGATGTGCGTGAGGAGTGGCACCGAATTTCAGAAATGTTGCAAATCCCATGTGTTTTTGGACCCTGACCCCGCGGATCTGCGTAAGGAGTGGCGCCGAATTTCAGAAATGTAGCAAATCCCCTATGTTTTTGGACGCTGACCCCGCGGATCTGCATGAGGGGTGGCACCGAATTTCAGAAATGTGGCAAATCCCATGTGTTTTTGGACCCTGACCCCGCGGATCTGCGTGAGGGGTGGCACCGAATTTCAGAAATGTGGCAAATCCCATGTGTTTTTGGACCCTGACCCCGCGGATCTGCGTGAGGGGTGGCACCGAATTTCAGAAATGTGGCAAATCCCATGTGTTTTTGGACCCTGACCCCGCGGATCTGCGTGAGGGGTGGCACCGAATTTCAGAAATGTGGCAAATCCCATGTGTTTTTGGACCCTGACCCCGCGGATCTGCGTGAGGGGTGGCACCGAATTTCAGAAATGTGGCAAATCCCATGTGTTTTTGGACCCTGACCCCGCGGATCTGCGTGAGGGGTGGCACCGAATTTCAGAAATGTGGCAAATCCCATGTGTTTTTGGACCCTGACCCCGCGGATCTGCGTGAGGGGTGGCACCGAATTTTAGAAATGTTGCAAATCCCGTGTGTTTTTGGACCCTGACCCCGCGGATCTGCGCGAGGGGTGTCGATTTCGAGCCCCCCCAGCAGTTCAGACAACGCGCCCAGGGGGTGCTAAAATGCCGGTTTGGGCCTCCCCCCCCCTCGCGCGGTCAATCAACTAGTTACAGTAACCAGCAACAAGCAGAACTGTAGCACTGGAAACTACAAGCTACAACTGGTACAGGAAACTGCGAATCCCGCTCCTCGCAGCCTGGTGGCCCCACAAGGGGGCCGGCGGATATCGCCGATGGCCCCTGCTGAGGTGATATACAGCCACGCAGTCCAGGTTGCTAACGATACTGCTAGCGCTTATGATTTCGGATCAGCTGTTCAAGTGGCCTTCCTTTCTCAGGGCTTTGCGATAGTAGGGCAATAGATCGAAATTGCACCACCAGAAATGAAAGTCATAACTGCAACCATGACAAGTGTTAGTGTAACAGCCACCAGCAGAACGGCGAGCAGCTTAACAGCGACCCGCACTTTGTCCACTAGCACCGCGACCAGCATCACTACCCTGACCACTGCCACCATTACCAGCAGCTCTACCCTGATCACGGCCACGACCAGCATGACCACTGACACAGTGACTATCGGCACCACCACGAGCATGTCCACCACCACCACCATGTCCACAGTCACCAGTATCATCGCCTCGACTGCGGTCAGCACCACTACCCTTACTAGTGCCACCATTACCACTGGCACAGCGACCAGCGGTACTACCACGACCACTGCCACCACTACCAGCATCACGACGTTGTCCATCACCGCAAATACCAGGACCACTGCCACTTTCACCAGCACCACGACCCTATTCACTGTCACCACTACCAGCACTACCATCCCTCTCGGTGCCACCACCTCCATCACAACACAGACAAGCACAACGACGCGAGTATTTTCGGTGTCGGCCTCATTTCGGTTTGAGAGCACGGGCACTCAAGAACAGGTGGAAAATGCGTCGGTGACTGCCCTTGCTGCACATCAGCACGTGCCCGAGAGTGCTGTGACCTGTCATGCATCGGTCCTCACCTTTTCGCGACGGCTCCTGACAGACCGGGAGCTCACTGGCTCAATCATACATTGGCAGGTTGATTGGAATTTAGTTGCAAATGAAAATGTCGCTTCTTCCGTCTACTTCCTAGCATCATTGTTGCACCAGCATGTGAACACGACTTCGGGATTGAATTCAGGCACGATTGAAGATTTTCATGATTTATTTGATACCGCCCTTTCTTCCATGAATTTGACTCTCATAACAAATTCAAGTGCCTTGCTCCACGACGAGCCACGGATGTTGGAGATCACCGTCACCCAGACGACTTCAACAACGACAGTAACGGGATCAGCGAGACTGGAAGGCGAAGGCAGCGACGCCAATGTTATGATCATAATCATAGTTGGTGTGATCTTTGCTTTGTGTTGTTGTGCTCTATCTTACTGCTGGGCGAAAAAGTTTCAGCAACGGATCTCACAAGAGGACGTGATGCTTGATGTGGATGTCGAGGAAAATAATCAGGAAGCCGAGCATGTCGAGGACAACGCCGTAAGCCAAGTTTAATCGCAGTCGGCTTCTCCGGCGCGCTCGCTTCGTGGACGCTCCCCGCGGGCAGGCCCTTCGATACCGCCATTGATCAGCTCCCCTTGGCTGCCGCCACACGCACACGTTGTATATAACGGTGGGACGGGCTCTCGGCCCCGGAGGGGGGGGGGGGCGACCATTCGCCCGCCCTGCCCGGCCCTGCTTCTCGTCTCCAAGGGGGGACGCTCCTTTTTGCGGCGCTGCGAGACCGCGCCCGCCTGTGGGAGGCCGCATCCCGGCCCCCTAAGAGCGATGAGACACCGATTCGGGGCGGGCGAAAGTGGGGGATTGGGAAAGGGGGGGTTCCGAAATCTGCTGCATGCAGCTGGTTTCGGACGACCGAGGGGCCCATTCCTCGATACATGGGCGCCTCCCGGCGCCGGGAGGCGCCGGGAAAATCAGCTACGTGAGCTGATTCTCAAACCCCCCCTTTGGTATCCCCCCCTTTCGCCCGACCCGACCGATCCGGCGGCCAAGGATTGCCCCCGTGCTGCCTCGAAGACGGCCTTCAGGGGTCCCGGACGGCCCAAGACGCTGTCCAAACGGACCATGCGGCCCCCAATACTTATGATGTTCCAGCCTACTTTAGCCTTGACCACCAGAGAGAATTCTCGAGCACCAGGAAAGTACTGAAACTGGAGAGTTTTCACGTGTCGGGCCCTGGGAGGCGATACTCGTTCGACATTATTTTGATACCTTTCTTGGTGCTCGAACTTATTTCTGGGGATGTGGTCCCTAAGTACGATGGGAGCAACAGAACCCAAACTGGCCCAAAAATGCTTCAAGAGGACCCCGACGGGTGCCCCTAAGAGGCCAAACTTACAGATTTGCCTTAGCTTTGCGTTCTTACCGCTTTGGGTTTCCAACGCTCCTCGACGGCTCAAGAGGCACCCACGACCGCCCCGCAATGGCCCAAGAGGAGTCCAAGAAAGCCCCAAGACGGCGTCAGAGACCTCTACGGGGGATCCGACAGGACTCTTCGGGCCCTCGGCCCCAAGAGGCCCACAGGAGTCCCCCAGAGCCCCCCAAGAGGCCCCCAAGAAGCCCCAAGAGGCTCCCAAGATGCCCCAAAGAGGCCCCCGAGAACCCCAAAGGGGCCCCCAAACTGCCCCCAACAGGCACCGAAGCGGGACCCAAGAGGCCCCAGAATTGATTACAGGAGGCCCCCGATAGATTTGCCACGAGATCCGAAAGAATTGTCCAGAAGCTTCCATGAGGAGCCCCAGATGCTTCCAGGACATCTTCAAGAGCGCTCCAGAGCCTCCCAAGCCGGCTGTGAAACGGCCCGGTATGGCCTGAAGACGGTCCAAGAGGTCGCCAAGATGGTCCAAGCTGGCCCGAAGATGTGCCCAAGGGTCCTCCAGACGTTTGCACGACGCCCCCAAGCGGCCCCAGAGTTCCAGAAAGGGTCCCAGAGGCGCTAAAAATGTATCAAAACCTATGGAAAGCCGTAAATGATTGAAACACGCGCCTGTTCATTACCGATGGTCTTCGGAGGCTTGTGGATGGTCCCCAAACGCCCAGAACGGCCCCACGAAGAGCCCCAGACAAGCCCCGACAGCGGCCCGAAAAGGGGCACGTGAAAGGAGAACCCCAGCTCTTCGCTCCAAGATATCCCAAGGTGTCCCCGAGAGGCCCCCAAGACGCCCCGAGAGGCTCCCAAGAAATCGCCAAGAGTTCCAAAGGGGCCCCGAAACGGCCCAAAACAAACCCAAACCATGCCCGAAGAACACTGGAGATAACATGCGGATTTAAACATTTATTTTTTTCAAGGTCACAACGGACCATCGGGCATTCATCTTTCGAAGGGGAGCCTCTGGTTCTGGAAAGGAGTGCTTGACGGGAGGGCGTACTACAGCGTCGCACGTACATCTTGGGTTTATGTTGTTTTTTTTTTTTGCTCCTCCAGATGCTCATTTTCCTCCGGCTCATCCTTCTCCTTTGCTAGTGCTCCTGCTGCTCCTCCTCCCCCTCCTCCTCCTCTCCTCCTCCTCCACCACCCCGCTCCTCGTCCTCCTCCTCCTCCAGAAATCAGTGAAACAAGAAGTTGAGATCAGTGAACTTGCGAGTTCTCTGATTTTCCCCAAACCAGCTTTCGAATCTGTGAATTGGGCAGTTCACTGATTCTACAGGTAAAATCAGTGAAATGGCACATTCACTGATTCTACCTTTGGAATCAGTGAATGTGCCCCTTTGGGGTCCTTTCGGGGCCCCTTTGTGGTCCCTTTGGGTCCCCTTTGGAGTCCTTTCGGGGCCCCTTTAGGGTCCTTTCGGGACTCCTTTGGGGTCCTTTCGGGGCCCCTTTGGGGTCCTTTTGGGGCCCCTTTGGAGTCCTTTGGGCCCCTTTGGGGTCTTCCTTCGGGGGCCCATTTGGGGTCCTTTCGAAGCTTATTTGGGGTCCTTTTTGGGCCCCTTTGGGTCCTTTCGGGGTCCGTTTGGGGCCCCTTGTCGGGGCCCCTTTGGGGTCCTTCCGGGACCC